CTAGTGGAGGAATTTCTGCAAGGCAGAACTCTATGTACTTATGCAAAGTTCAATTAAAAATATCAATTTGCAAAGTTGAGCAAGTGGCATATGTTGGGACCCGAAGGCGCGCCAAAGGTGAGCTAATTAGCATGGGTTAGCTAGGTCGACCAGGCGTAGGGAGCTACGCCCGACTCCCTGCGGGGATGTCGAATCCGTAGACGTATTCTACGGAGGTTGGGTTTGAGTCCCAACCCCCTAGTAAAGCAAGGCTGGGTTCAAGTCCCGACCCCATACTAGGGCGTGGTGAGGGGTGGAGTATAGGGACACCTATATTCCGTTGTCATGAGCTCTTGGCCGGGGAGGCTAACTTAGGCACACCGCTAAGTGGGGGGATGCCCCCGGAGACATGGTCAACAAGTCGTAGGATAAAAAAGAGACGTTCGATGTGGGCATCGAACTTCTTCTATGGGTGGTGGAGTTGTAAGGAACCAACTCGCCGAGGTGTCGTAGGCTAAGGGAACCCCGAAAGCATGACCAAAATGACAAAGAGTTCATCGGATGGGACCAAGTCAAAGATCGAGTCCAAGACCGACTCTAGGACCGAGTTCGAGATAGAGTCCGGAATCGAGTCCAAGACCGACTCGGGGACCAAGTTCGAGTCCGAGTTCGAGACCGAGTTCGAGACGGAGTCCGAGATCCGAAATTGGGTCCGAGACCGAGTCCGAAGTCGAGTCCGAGGTCGGGCCTGAGATCGGGTCCGAGATCGAGTCCGCGATCGAGTCCGAGACCGAATCCGAAGTCGGATCCGAAATCGGATCCGAGATCGAGCCAGAGACTAAGTCCAAATACTAATACGGGTCAAGGGGTGAAAGCCCAAAGCGTGCGTCCCCCAGGGGGGGGGGGCTGCAGGGGGTTCCAAAAGTATAGTAGGGATAGTGAGGTCCAGGAACCAGTTTTGAAGGGACTCTCCAGTTGGGCTTCCAAACCGACTTGAGGTTGGGACTGGGACTAAGGGGCCTTGGGTGGGAGTGAGCATGGACTTGGCTGGTGCCGGAGGGGCCATCCAAGGAAGTGCTCAAGAGCAGCTCCCACTCCCGAAAGGGAAACCGATTGCGGTGCTCCCGGCTCATGTGGAGTGGTGCCCCACTTGAGTACCATGCGGCTCATTGGTCCTCGCCCTTCCTAGGGGCTTGGGCCTTCCTTCGGGATGGATGTGGGGGGCGAGGGGTACCCATACTGGGCCGTTAGGCCACGGTGTTTCGCCCCGGCGTCCCGAAGCAAGTGTTGCACTCAAGACTTGGGATTTAGAGGGTCCCATGATCAAGTCTTGTGGTACCAAGGGATGTTAGGAATCTGGAAGCTTGGTGTGCTTGGCTGCTTGTGCTTGCGGGGAGTGTAGCCGAACCTTAAGTCCAGTCTAACCCGGGGAGGGGGATTGGGAGTGATTTGGGAATCCGTGGAAGGATGGCTAACTCTCCGTTGCTCGTGCAGTGAGTAGCTGAAACCAAGTAGGAGCTGGTACCATAGGCGAGAACCTTGGCAAGGGAACTTAGCAAAAGCCAAGGCAGTGTTGGACGGATAGACGAGGTAAGCTGGCAAATTGGAAAGGAAAAATTTGTGGCTTACACTCGCCTCCTGTTCACGAAGGGAAACAATGATACTGAAACGAACAAGAGAGCGAACCCTAGGCCAACCTCCCAACCCTTAAGGCGTTACGGCCTTAAATCCCACAGGCCATGGAATATTCTCGGAATATTCCCGTGGTTCGTGTCATTCTCCCCTCCCTCATGACCCAGCCACATACGGTAGCCTTGAGAAGCTAAACGAGCCTCAAATGAAGGGAGTCCAAGGCAATACGGCCATGGAGAAATGATGTGCAAACGGCAACACCAACATCGCAACAAACGGTCACGAAAGAAAGAAAGCAATACGGCTTTCTCACATGACAATACGGTCATGGAAAACAAGAGAATGAGAATAGAACAAACGGCTCAAATCATATAGCAATACGGCTATAGAACTCAATTCTCCCCTTCCTCAGGAATGTCATCCAAGTCATAACCAAAACTCGGAAACACTCTCTTCACGTCATCCTCAATTTCCCATGTAACTTCGTCCATGGAATAACCATTCCACTGAACTAACAACTCCCTAGTTGTTTTCCGGCGTGTTTTCACCAATCTTTGAGCAAGAATATTGGCCGGACCAGCCTTCTCTGCATCAATCTCTGGAACTTGGATGATGGACTGATCCACGATATCACCAAAGTGCAAACACACTTTAAGCTTGCTCACATGGAACGTTGGATGAATCTTCGAACTAACTGGCAAATCCAAAGTGTATGCAAGATCCCCCACACGCTGTAAAATTGTCCAAGGCCCACAATACCGTGGGGACAACTTAGCACTACCACTTCCTTTTAGAGATCGTTGTGCATCCGACAGCTTAAGGAAAACCTTGTCACCAACTTTGTACTCTTGATGACGACGATGCTCATCAGCCAATCTTTTGTCTCGTTCTTGAGCTTGCCTCATGTTCAATTTTGCCAACTCAAGCTTGTCTTGCATATCCTCCAAGAAATCGCAAGCATGAGGAACCCGAACCAAAGCCAAATTCAAACTCACAGGAGATCTAGGCTCATAGCCATACATCGCCATAAAAGGAGACATGCCAATAGCCGATTGATGAGCGCTATTGTGAGCAAACTGAAGCAAAGGCAAGTATTTTTCCCATACTCCCTGTCGAGTCAAGTTTCCCACAAAAGACCGTAGCATATCTTCTAATAGCTGATTCATGCGCTTTGTCTGCCCATCAGATTGTGGATGCTCACCACTACTCATGCTCAATTTAGTCTCTAGTTTTTCAAAGACCGTTTGCCAAAACTTGGACGTGAACTTAGGATCCCGATCACTCACAATGTCACCCGGCAAACCATAGAGACTGAATAACCAGTCTACAAACAACTGAGCAAGTTCAGAAGCTTTTATCGTTGTCTTCACAGGGAAGAAGTGAGCCATCTTCGTCAAACGATCCACAACAACCCAAATAGCATCATTTCCTCGAAAGGTTTTGGGCAAACTAGTGATAAAGTCTATCGAGATGCTATCCCACTTATTCTCGGGTACACGTAAAAGATGATAGAGGCCAGCGAGCTTCTGATGATCAACTTTGACCGCCTGGCAGGTCAAACAACCACGTACTTACTTTTCAACATCTGACTTCATCCCAGGCCAAAAGAAATGCCTCTTCACCAACATATATGTTCTCAATACCCCCGGATGCCCAGCACTTGGCACATCATGACACTCAACCAAAATCTGTTTGATGAGTTTGTCAACACGAGGAACCACAACACGTCCCTTCTTTACCAGGATTCCATCTCGTATTTCGAATGACGCAAACTTGTCACCCTTTAAATCTGTAGAGGCGTCCCTCAACAAAACCTTCGCGCAAATATCAGTGATGAAGGAGTCAAAGTCAGCAAACTCCTTAAGCTCATCCAAGAGATCGCTGGATAGCTTCACGAACGAGATAGAATTTACCATCCTGGATAATGCATCAGCCACTTTATTATCACCTCCATGCTTGTACCGGATCTTAACAGACATTTCCTGCAGGAACTCTTGCCAACGAGCAAGGCGGCCTCGAAGATCCACATCTGGAGAGACTGATGATCTGAAACTACATGGAAGTCTGATCCATATAGATAGTGTCGCCATTCTTGAGTAAGTCAATTCTGCTGTGTGACATCAAACTTGTGGCTCATGAAGGCAAGAGAATGCCTAACTTGAAGCAATACGGCCCCAAAAGCACTATCACTCACATCATTGCCTATAATTTCCACCACAGTCACCTTATCATTCATTGAGCCCTTCAGAACAATCCTTGCTCTGATGTCCAGCTTTATGGCAACGAAAACAATTGCCCTCCGCCTTATCTCTCTCACGGTGGTCCAAACGAAATTTCTTAGCCTCACTGCCATCTTCATACTTTGAGCCACAAGGGAATAACAACCGTTTCTTCCCCGAATATGAAGCATTGGCGAGCTGGTCATCACGTTGACCACCCCGGAGACCATCCTTTTGACCAACGTTGACCGAGTTGACCGACGGTTTGGGCGAAAAGATTTGAGCCTTAGTGATAGCATCAGTCAATGTTGCTGGAAAATCCTTCTTGACCTTCTGCTGCACATCCACCGAGCTCAATCCTTTGATAAAACATTGCACCTTTAGCAGCTCATTATAGGTGCCCATGAGACTAAGGCAAAGATCATGGAACTTGCGGGCATACGCATCCAAAGACAAAGTCCCCTGCCGGATCTCTAACAACTGATTCACGAGATCAACCTCTTCAAACTTCTTGACAAACGAAGCGCGGAAAACCTTTGTCAAATCAGTCCAAGACGTCGGCGTCGGATTAGCTTTGATGTAGTTCTTCCACCACGAAGAAGCATGGCCCGTAAGCTTCGTCACAAAGAAATCTATCTTCACCTTATCCTCACAAGGATTGTGAGACCAACAACTTTCCCACAATTCCAACCAAGAATCAACCTCTTGACTATCACAAACATCCGGTGATGATTTCCATTCCACAATACCATAATCCTTGGCATGCTTGACGTACCAATGGTAATCACGGACATGAGATTGATTCAACCCTTGAGGGTTCATGCGAAGCAAGAAATCCTTGATGAGATTGACGGAATCCTTAACCTCCTTTATGTCGCTCTGAACTGCAGAAATCTGGCGTCCTTGCCGCAAAACGACATCATCAAGAGTCTCTTCCGCATCGTCATGGTTATCCTCACTAACGCCATACTCCTCATCAGGATCAATATCTTGCTCACCCGCCATCCCCAAAAGAACGTGCTGCTCCGATACCAATGAAACGAACAAGAGAGCGAACCCTAGGCCAACCTCCCAACCCTTAAGGCGTTACGGCCTTAAATCCCACAGGCCATAGAATATTCTCGGAATATTCCCGTGGTTCGTGTCAGATACCTTCTTTTAAACAGGGAATTATCCAAAGCTAGATTTCTTAGCTGATTGAATAAGCTAGAACAAAGCTCGAAGCAAGCAGCTGCGTCAGGCCCTGGAGGAGCAACCTCTTCAAAGATCAGGTCACTTCCAGTTCGTCGAAGAGAAATTACCTTGTTAGACCACGTCCGTGTTGTGTCGGACTTACAGAAAGTAGAGCGCGCTCCTCCTGGACGATGATCCTCCTGACCTCGAGCTCCTTCCTGGGACGCCCAAAAATATCCGATCCAGCTCCTCCTCAGATTTAGCAGAACCAAATACGTAATTGCTTCTCATGCTATATTACCGTGCAAAGCACCCCTTGCAGTCGGCTCCAAGTTCCTGCAGCCATGAATCTGAGGAAAGCAACCAGAAACACCAAGAGCAGGAATTCTTTGCAACGAACTGCAAAGTACGTACTTGGACATGAAATTCTCCCGTGACCATCGATCGTTGCTATGAGCCGCCGCTTCCTGCAAAAAGGAGAAGAGCTCTCTTTTACGTTACCAACCATGAAGAATTGGGGGGGGAAGTGGTACTTACAAAAACTGCCAGTCTGAATCAAGACAATGCTCTTCTCGCTGGTGGAATGATCGAATCGAGTTTGTTAGTAAGTGAAGGAGCCTCAAGAAAAGAAAACGAGTTTTGAGGAGGAAAAATGGGGAAACAAGTACTCAACTTCAGAGATTTGGTCCTCCGCAACCACCAGCGTTTTCACTGACTGTGGCAGCCGCTCGATCCTATTTCCTGGAAGAAAGAAAGGAAAACTCTCATTCAAGATTGTCATAAAGAGTTTACTGTCCAGTTCCATCGCGTAGTAGCTGAAAGGCGCTCTGGATCAAACACAAATCTCCAGCTGGAATTAGAGGGCAAACGAATGTCTGGATGAAGATCGTACCTGTTGGGGATCGACCCAAGAACACCATAAACCCTAGTGCCGCAAAGCCCGGAGCTTTAGGGTTTAAGGGAGACGATGCCGCGATCGTTTGAAGCGGTGTTTGCGCGCGCGCTCGAGGCAGTGGAGCGCAAGGCGGAGCACGACGACGATCTCGACTGGCAGGCATGGAACAACCGCGAGGAGTGCACCGTGGGTAAGCGCTGGAGCGTCGCCAAGCTCAATCGCTACCTCGAGATATGGAAGCTAGGGGTGTCGTGCGTCATGCGCCCCGGCGGCAAAGTTATCGCCGTGGAGCGTCAGCACGAATCCTTCGTCGCTGGGTACGTGAGGGATAGATTCATGTCCAGGAGGGATGGGATGGAGCCTCTGGGGAGCAGGACGTGGGGACTACTCTACGTTCCATTTGCCCATCTCCCCAGGGGGAGCATCAAGCTCCTCACCATGGAAGCCTTCCATGCCGCGCTCTACCAGCTCGAGCCCAACAATGGCAAGTACCTGACCAATCGCCCATGCCCGCGCTTCATCCTCGACATCGGCCAGTGCCAGACGCTGCCCGAGCTCCTCTCCTACAAGGACGCCTACTTCCATAGCCCCGGCTCCAAGGTCCAGATCTTCCTGGCGATCAAGTTGTACGTGAAGACGCAGCTGAGGCAGATGGTGGCGGTGTTGCTCGACCGATATGGCGATGCTAGAGCCATCTCGTTTGGAGAGGAAGCGCTCCATCCCGTGACTGTGGCGTGGCTGGAGGAGCAGGGGATTCCATTGGCCGGAGTGGGACACTGCGGGGTGGAATGCGATCGACCAGGCATTCCGAGCTACGAGATCAAGCTTGAAATCGCCAAGGTGCTCGAGGGTGGGGATGATGTCGACACCGTTCGGGAGAAGTGTGGCGACCATGTTACGCTGGATCTCTACTGGGTCAAGACTGAGTTTCACAATAGCGCTCGTTTGCAACCCCAGCATATCCTAAGTAATTAGCAGCTAGCATATCTCTGCGCTGGAGAATTCCTCGCGATTTCACCTTCTTGAATCCATAGGGCGTGCTGTGTTTGTGGCTTGCATCCTCTCCAATTAGCTGCTTTTCTCGCCCTCCTCGCCTAGGAATTCCTCTTGCTTGGATTCCAGCGCCCATTCTCAGAAAGGTTTCTGATCTCAGTGGTTAAGTCCAGGAAAATGAAGGAAGACTTCTTTACTTTTGTAAAGTCCAAAGAACTATAAGAGATAAGAGATCTTAAAACCAACAAGCGAAACAAAAACTCAGAGTATTTGGAAAGAATTCAAGAGATTTTTGAAGCTCAATGGAATAATCAAAGAGCTCACAAGATTCGATCTAGTAAAAGAAATCACACAAACCAGGCTTGTGTACATTGATCTCCCGGCAGTGAATCTCTGCTATACTCTACCTGGATATTCTTGCTTGGTCTGGATGTGACAGTTGATTGATCTCTTGAGAATGATCTGGATGTGATAGTTGATTGATCTCTTGAGAATGATCGGGATGTTCTTCTTCTGGATGTGATAGGCCTAGTTGATGACAATGGACTTCTGCTATACTCTAAACATCGGGAACGCAATGAAAACCCGGAGTGGACCAGTGACTTTGGTCCTGGAGTGATCGGTGTTCCCGTCACACATCCAGGCGCTGATACTGGGCTCCAAGCTAGAGAATACTTTGAATTACGGGGCAGTGAGATCTGCAACTTGGAATAACAGCGGCTTTGCTTCTCCCAATCAACCTGAGGGCACCGATGGGTATAATGTGGGATTCGTTAGATACACTTGGAGGTTCCTGCTTCCCAAAGGGATCAGGCAGTTCGTGAGCTTCTTTACGAGTGTCGACGATGAAGAAGACGATGACGATCAGAATGAAGGGTCTGAGAGAGCTGAACTAGATAGATGGCACAACTTGGAAGTGTCGTTTGAGGTCATATGCAACACAGACGAAGAGTTATTGCATGGCAACTTGAGCTAACAAGTAACCTTAAACCCTGGGCTTTGCGGCACTAGGGTTTATGGTGTTCTTCCCAACAGGTACGATCTTCATCCAGGCATTCGTTTGCCCTCTAATTCCAGCTGGAGATTGTTTGATCCAGAGACACGATGGAACTGGACAGTAAACTCTTTATGACAATCTTGAATGAGTCTTTCTTCCAGGAAATTGCTGCCACAGTCAGTGAAAACGCTGGTGGTTGCGGAGGACCAAATCTCTGAAGTTCATTTTTCCTCCTCAAATTGGAAAAGTTTTCTTTTCTTGAGGCTCCTTCACTTACTAACAAACTCGATTCGATCATTCCACCAGCGAGACAGCAACCAAGAGCATTGTCTTGATTCAGACTGGCAGTTTTTGTAAGTACCACTTCCCTCCCAATTCTTCATGGTTGGTAACGTAAAAGAGAGCTCTTCTCCTTTTTGCAGGAAGCGGCGGCTCATAGCAACGATCGATGGTCACGGGAGAATTTCATGTCCAAGTACGTACTTTGCAGGTCGTTGCAAAGAATTCCTGCTCTTGGTGTTTCTGATTGCTTTCCTCAGATTCAGCAAGCTCAGGGAGTGGCTGCAGGAACTTGGAGCCGACTGCAAGGGGTGCTTTGCACGGTATTATAGCATGAGAAGCGATTGCGTACTTTGTTGTGCTAAATCTGAGGAGGAGTTGGATCGGATATTTTGGGGCGTCCCAGGAAGGAGCTCGAGGTCAGGAGGATCATTCTGTAACTTGTTCTGGCGGATGGAGCTGCTCGAGGTCAGGAGCATGGCAGTTGTGCCAATTATGCTAGCCAACTCGATGATGAGCAAGTCACTTTTCTGTCGGAAAACTCTAGACTGGACGTGTGCTTACTCAGAGATCATACAGGAGGATGGTACGTTTGCAACAAGAGAAGCAAGCTGCTAATGCCTTTTGCATTCGCATTGCAACGCATATTGCTCTTTTTTTACCTTCGGATTGGTGGTGTAAAGCAAGAACACACATTCTCTAAAGCTAAAAGACCACTTAAAGCGTGGCTTTTGAAGGGTAGAAAAGGCATAATAAGATTCGACTGTTGAATTAAATTGAATAGTATTCCATCAACAAATTAAAACAAGCAATGGTGTTAACAAAAACGTCCATCCGGGACTAAAACACGTCAGTGTCTCGGACTCCCTATCAGCATCTACCCGTCACTATATCGGACTTCTAAGGAGTTCGACGAACCGTGTCCGGTGCTTATACTCCTCTTCATCTACGTCTTCGAGCCTCGTTCTTTCCAGACAAAAATGGCGACCGAGAGCGTCTTCCAGTAGCTCCGCAAGTTCTTCGCGATACGAGAGATAGTCTTTGAGCTTGCAGATGAAATCGCCGTGGGATCGGCCCTGTGCGAGATTTACATACAGCTCAAGCTCATAGAACGAAGTAACGAAAACTCGCTCACCAGTCGATACGCTGGAGCGCGGCGCGGAATAGTCAAGTAAGCCATTCGTGCCGGGCTATAGTCCCAGAGGAAGGAAGTGTGGTGGAGCCAGCGATCTTTGGAGATGGACTCGGCATTTCCAGCGATCTTCGTCTGCCCGAACGCATAGTCTGTCCAGCACTCACGAAGAACAGTCGCCAAAGAAACTCTTTTATCTCTCCGGTACCTTGCTCGTGAACTGTGAAGTCTGGATTGTCCAAAAAAACGTTCTTGTACAGCTCTCCGGTCCATTTCAGTATAGTCCTGGGGAAGAGTTCCAGCGATGGAATCGCCTTTCGCGAGCAAATGAGCGTGACAAAGAGCGTATCTTCGTCCACAATCACAGTCCCGCCGCCGGAGAAGCGTCGCACGACAGGGATTCCATCCCGGGACACGGCGTCCACATCCAGAAGCTCTTCCGGGCTCCTGGGGCACGGATCCATCAACAAAAACGCGCGCATTTGGGGAGAATCTCTTCTTACCCGCTCACTCCCATGACGATCGTGGGAGGCGATGTCCCATTGTTGAAGACGCACCAATTCTCATCGGACTTGTGCATCAATCGCTCCTCGAGCTGGAGCTGCCGGAAGATGGGGAATCCCTGGAGCCGTAGCACTCGCATTGCGGGCCTCATCGCCGCCATCCAAGAGCCCTAAAAAGTCGCTCTTTCTAGTCCACGTAGAGACACGTGGCAAGATGCGCATTTGTCACGCAAGCCCTAATCCTTTATTTTAAATTTTTTGAATCTCTACTTTGAAGCCGCGTAGGCCTCTGGAACTGGCTCCGTCTTGCCAGTGATTCCTTGCTTGAGATTCTTAAAGTTTTCTTCGTAGTTTTTCTCGGCAGGAGGATTGCTGGGATCGATGGAGAAGGGTTCACTGAAAGGAACCGTGCTCTTCACCTGTTAGAGAGAAACGCAAAAGAAAAACCATGAATCGGGAAGGGGAAAACGAAGAGAAACTCTACCTCGAATGTCACATTGCAAGCTGCGGGAGATTCCAGAGCAGCCACGCAAATCCGTGCAACTTCTTCTCGCGAAATCTTTCCCTGTGCAATGACAATCAAAGAAATGTGAGAAACAGCTCCAAATGAGATACTGAAACAGCTCATACTGTGATGTTGTCTCCCTGATCAAACTGTAGCTCTGCTCCTGCTGGCTCTTCTGTAAGCGCACAGGGTCTGACGATCGTGAAAGGCACCCCACTCTCTCGTATAAGATCCTCTCCCTGAGAGACGACTTCATAAGCTTGAGCTTTGAGCCAAACTACTCCCGTGCAAGTTTACCTTGAGTTTGTAAGTGAGTATGTCTCCAAGCTCTTTATTGAGCCGGACTGCTGGTGGCTGCTTACTTAGATCCAATCCTGGTCTGTCCGGTCTCGTAACGCCAGCAGAACTTACGTGAACAAGCCTGCACGAAGAGAACTATTCAAAAGCTTATAACGAAACTCGGGACTATACCTCGGTGTAACAGGCTCACTGAGATAAGCTTTGATGCTTGCGATTGGAATCGCAAACGAACCTGGTTCAAACGTTGGATTAAGCCTGCCATCGTACTCGAACTTGCTGTACATGAGCTACAAAGAGAGGCAAAACGAAACTGGAAGTCGAGAAAAATGGCTACATGAACATACCTGTAGCGAAGCGATGCTCGAGACGTCAAACGGTGGAGCGTCTTGGACAGTTCGTGCTCGAAAAACTGGCACGAAGCTTGAAAATGGGACCCGAACCTACAAGAGTGGTTTCCAGCTTCCACGCAAAAGGTAAGAAACATGACGTTTACCTGTGTCCAAGAGTTCTTCTGTGTGTCAAAGCTCGCAGTGTATCCGGTTCCGTCCCAATCTTTGGAAACGCGGACAATCAGCTTCAATCTTTGGCCGTTTCCTTTGAGCCGGAGCTCCAGGCCGTCGTACGCGGACAAGTCCAGCACTGGATCAAAGTTCTGTCAAGCCATACATGAGATCTAATGCTCTTAGCCGGAGTGACTACTACACCTTTGTTCTTATGCTCGCAAAGCCTCCATTGTTTGCAGTCGAGACAACTCCTATACAGCACAAGAGCGAAGTTGTTACACAGTTTCTTCTGGAAAGTTGAAAATACCTCTGAAGATCCCAACTGGCTCATCTCCCTCTCGGCCAACTTGCAGAAAACTTTCGCTCACACCGCCCATAACAACATCGTCCAAAGATCCCCACGCGGGCCCGAAAGGAATGCCATTCTCTACGACCAAGACGGGACATAATTGTGCAAGAATAAACAATATCACTCTCTTACCATAGAAGCCAATCAAAAGCCTTCCTTGCAGCAGTCCAACATGATCTTTTACAGCATCAATCAAGTTTTTCATTCCCTGGTATTCCACTGCTTCTGGTGGATCGCCTTTAATCTGGAACATCAAAGTAAGAATAGGAAAACAAACTAAAAAATGAACTCACCTCTGGCATAAAAAACTTTATGCCCTGCAAAGTGTATCAATAAAAAATGAGAATTGAATTGATCGAGCTAGAAGCAATGGTCTCTTATTACCTGAGAGTACTTTTGCCTATCCGGTGTATCTCCCTCCTTGGGTCCTACAATAACCGAGGCCGCGCTTATCACTTTCTTCACTCCATGAAAGTAGTGAGGTAGCAGTGTAGCTTTCTTCGTTACATCTCCAGTCACCTGAGATCTTGCCAGACGAAAGTAGATTACCACCAGTTTTCAATGATCTATAGCTATACTCACAATATCTGTGTCTGGTCCCAGTAAAGTTCTAGCCTTCTCGGTATTCCTGACCTGCATGTCAAAACGATAAGACACAGAGTTGAAATGCGAGAATTCCATTACCAGGACACGAACAGGAATGCCTTTTTTTCTCAGGACATCCACCACTCTCTTCCCAACGCCTCCAGTTGCACCGGTGACAAGAACTAAATCTCCGTTCTTTGCTTTGCTGGCTGCCATTGGCACTGCTTCTCGAGACTTCGTAAACCTTTCCGTGATGGATTGCACCAGCTGAAAGACACTGTTAGTTTAGATACGAAACCGGATTACGTTGAAGCAAACCTTTGGGAAAGACGGCTCGTTGAAAAAGAAGACAGTCTTCAGAAATCGTCCAAAATCCCAGGAAGCAACAGCTGCTGCCTGAGATGGGGAGCTACAAGCAAGCTTGGTTCGTCCCGGATGGCTTGTAAAACTTCCGCAAGCTCCCTGAAAGCAAGGAAAGCTAGATAAGAAGCTGCTTGCATTGTCAGTCCAGACAACGTAAGGTACTCACCAAAAACCCAGAGCGCAAGCAAGGCCTTGAGCTGTTCTTCGCACTGTCCACTGCCGAGAACAACTGTGGATAGTTTACCGCCCCGGCTGCTATCGCCATCCCTCCGCTACGAAGACGCTGGAAACCTCATATGCTGCCAAGATAACGAAAAAAAAAAAATCGTCGTCCACGCGTCCACCAAAAAAGCTCGTAGCGAAGTGTCAAAATTCCGGCATAGATCCCGACTGCGATGGTTCCACCAAAGAGTTCTTTCCTCCATCTTGCGAGAAAAGCTCACACGTTCGTCATAGTGCCCGATAGAAGAACGTAAGAAGACGATGTCTCTGGAGACAAACTTTCGGCTAGACGTGCTGCTCGCTCGGAGTCACCATAGTTTCTACAAGCACCGAGCAAGGCGGTCCACATCACGAACTCGGGCTCGTAAGGCATGGATCTCAGCAGCTCCTCGGCCTCGCCGAGCTTTCCCAGTCGAGCAAAGAGATCGGCCATGCATCCAAAGTGCTGGGACACTGGAGAGATCTCGTACTCGCGGAGCATGGCCTGGAAGTGCTCGCGTCCTTGCTCCAGGACTCCTCCATGGCAGCAAGCGTACAAAACTCCCGTGAAAGATATCTCGTTCGGCTGCGTGCCGTCTAAAGTCATCTCCCACAGAAACTCCACTGCCTCGCTCCGGAGGCCACTCTGGGCGTAGGAGAGGAGCATCGTGTTCCATAGAACGATGTCTCTTCTCAGCTTCACGAGCCTGTCAAAAACTTCTCTCGCCATCGCCAAGCTCCCACACTTGCCATACATGTTGACGAGGCTGGCGGCGGCGTCGCCTTCGAGCTTGATCTTGGAAGCGATCATGTCGGCATGGAGCTGCTTTCCAACTTCCAAGTCATTCGAGCTCGAGCACGCGTTCAAAGCACTGACGAAGACAATCGCGTCCAGCTTCAAACCAGAGCCTGCCCGAGCTCTCATCTTCTGATAAGTTTCGAGAGCTTTCGAGTGAAAGCCGTGATCGACATAAGCACTCAGCATCGCCGTCCAGCAGATGAGATTCTTTTCTCGAATCCTTTCAAAAACATCCTCGGCCTCCTGGACGAGGCCGAACTTCCCATAGATCGTCACCAGCGCGGTCCCGACTACCACATCAGTCTCAAACCCGAGCAAAACTATCTTCTCGTGTAGCTTCTTCGCTTGATCCACGGACCAGCAGGCACCTAAAACGTTGACAAACGTGACCTCGTCCGGCTCGACGTCCATTACCTTGTAAGTTTCCATCGCTTCCACGGCATGCCCGTTCTGGGCATAAGCCGCTATCATAGAGTTCCAAGTCACAGCGTTCTTCCTTGTCATCCTGTCGAAAAGCTCTCTTGCTGGGCGGACGCCACCACTCCGGCCATAGAGGTTGATCACCGAGGTTGCGATGACAACGTTGGATTCAAGCCCGGCAGCGTAGACCAGCTTGTACACGAAAGCCACCGATTTAACGCTGGAGCAGGCACCCAGCACAGTGACAAAGCTCACAACATCCGGCTTGATCCCGTCGAAGAGCATCTCCTGGAAAACTTGCAAGCCTTGATTGAGCCGAGCGTTCTGGACGAGAGCCGCCACCATGATGTTGTAAGAGTAGACGTTCCTGCTGGAGAGCTGCTTGAAGACCGCGATCGCGTCGTCCAGGTAGCCACACTTGCCATACATTTGTATGAGCAAGTTGCTCAGGTAAGTGCTCTGGAAATGCTTGCTCGAGCTCATGATATGGCGGTGGACGAGCTTGCATTCTCCCAGCGAGCCACACTGCCGGACGAGCGAGGCGTAAGTACCGGAAGTTACTTCGCTACCTTGCGTCGTTAGCCGGCCCAGCGCTTGATCCAAGCTCGCAGAGGACGAGCTGCGGAGAAAAATCCGCCACAGCCATTGTGATCGTTTTGCCGATCGTCCTTTCATCTCGCGAGCTACAAGCAAAGTAAAGAAAGAAGCGAAACTCCGTCCAGCATGGTTTTGGTCGATTTTTCGCTTCCAGCGAAAGAAATTCAAAGAATGCGGTACGATCCTGCTCAAAGGCAAGTAAAATCTGTGATCCCTTCGCAATCTGGCCTTACCATTTGCCCGGGCGCCATTGCGTCCAAGAACCCTAAAACCTGCCCTAGAAAGTCAGCGCTAGTCAAATAGTACGTAGAAGATCTCCCGCCAATAAAAGGATCGCGAGGATGAATGGCAGCCACTCGTTGCGAGATCTGTCCACTCCACGTGGCAGGCGGACTGGCCATGGGCCAGTCCCAGTGCGTACGGCATGCAGTAAAAATGGGCGCCACGTCGGACCAGTTTGTGTGGATACGAGCATGGGTTACCATGTTGCGATGGATGATGATGATACCACATCCATCCATGGAATGTGTCCCGGGCTTTTGCAATGTGGCGGCGATGGCGGTGTGCTCTTCGCGTTCCTAGGCGGTAGAGGCGGTAGCGGCGCTGCGGCCGCGGCATAGCGCTCGAATGCGCCTGCCGCCTTTGTCTTGAGGGATTCCACTGCAATCTGGGAAAATATTTTGCGTGAGGTGAGGGTTTCTCGATCGCCAAACAGTGTAGGAGCTCCTAAATCTCTCACATCGGTAGCAAGAATCTAGCTACTGTTCCTTTTGGCCGCTTGCGGAGGAGCTGGACCTAGCGGCATCGCCCCCGATGGGGAAATAGGCCTAGAATGACAGATTTTGAGAGCAAAGGAGGCCATGAACACATTCGCGGTCGAGGATTTGAGGCACTGGACACGAAATCCACTTGGTCTTCTGTGAGTACCTTTAGAACAAAAAAAATTACTTTCCTTCGGTGCCTCGGATTGAATGGGTTCTTCGTTTGTGACAGTTCGATGAAATAGCTTGGGATGACTTCGGTGGCGACGATCACAGCGTGCCAGAGCCTGACGAACGGGTGCCGTCATTGTGGCTGAGAAGAAAGAAAGACCCAAAGCTCTGGAAGGAGTTAAAAGAGGAAGAACAGCCATCGAAAATGGATGCCGAGGCCACGACCATGGACGTGGATAGCTGGGACAGTCTCAACGTAGGGGAGCTTGGGGCCGTTCCAGACAATCTCACAGGCATTGGAAACCATTTGAAGGAGGAGTCACCGGATGCTTTGCCACTGCTGGATGGAGGCGTGGCGATGTGCCTTAACGAGTACAACGATGGCGACGCCGGGCACTTTGCTTTCTCGGCTGTTCCAAGCGAGGAGGAGATGACGCTGTTTGGCGGTGAAAGCGACGCTGGAAAAGGAAGTGCTCTACTAAGTTACGCGTGGGAGAACCTCGAGGACATGGACAATCTATTTCAGTAAGAAACTTGACGCTTCTTAGGTTAGTGTGCATTAGTTTGGCATCATCATGTTTCGTTCTAAACTTTTGTTTCTTTGCGTCACTTTTCTAACAGAAGCGAGGAAGCACCATTTTCTCAAGATGCGACCGATGCTTTGCTTCAATGGCCCGCTTCATCTTCGTCTCCAGACTCCAACTCTCCGGTGACGAATGCCAAAGCGGCGTGTGCCAGCCCGGAGTTGAGAGCGATGAAGGGAAAGTCGCACGACCAGGACATGAAAATGGAGTTTATTCCGTGCGAGAGCTTTGACAAGAACTCGGACGCATGCGCAAGCATTGCCGATGGTGAAAGTGCAGCGACTGATCTTTCGACTGCCGAGCTAAAGTTTGCAGCTTACGAGGAGCAGCGAGGCGACATTGACAAGGTACCGGTAAAAATCTATTCACCTGAATTCTTCTTGTGCTAACCATTGTTTCGATATGCAAGACTCCAGCGGAGGATTCCATGGAGCCGCTCTTGTCCCCAAAGGGGAAACAACAGGTCTCTGACACAGACAAGGTGATTAAATTTTTTTTCATGGCACTGATTTTTCTGAAGTAACATGACTATGGCAGGCTCATCCAGGAAAGAGACAAGCATCCAATAGAAAACGCAGTGATGAGCGATCCAGAAAGCAAATTTACCCGAAGAGACCTGGCATCAGTTATGCGAAACAGCAACCTTCAACTCAATTTTCTTCGTCCCAGCCGTTGCAGCTAAAACCAACTGTAGCTTCAACTCTGCAGGTCTATCCTCATGTTACCGGACCGGCAGTGCTGGGAACCATGCATCACAGGCCGCAGTACATTGGCCCAGTCCACCATTCTTCTTATATGATTCAACCAGCGCAGTCACAGCATTCGCAAGCCGTTATGATGTGCTACGATCAAGCCGAGCAACAAAGGGTCGGCCAGGAAACAAGGCAGAAACTAGCGCCCCCGCCGCCGCCGTCGTTGTCCGGAACAAACATGACGCCTCAAGAGAAGATTGAGAAACTGCGGTGGAAACAAAAGATGCACCGATTAGCGTCGGAGCAGCACCAGCAGATGGCCAAGCAGTGTGGACTTTCCATGGATCCGTGTCCGCCACAGCAAGGAGCTCGGAGCGAGACGCCTATAGATGCAGACGACAAGGCGAATGTGAAGTCGGAAGATGGCGATGGAGCGCGAGCTACAGTTGTGGACAGCGCAGTTGTCAGTCAGCTTCTCGGCATAATGTCTAAGGTTGGACGCGCCGTAGCTTTGCTCCGGTTCTTACAAGTTTTGTTTTTCGCAGCTGGACGTAGGAACGAGGATTTGCATCCGGGATGCGCTCTATCGGCTTGCGAGAAGCGCCATAACTCGTCACACTTCTGATGGCCCGAGCAGCAGCGAAGGCTCCAATAACTCGGCGGGCGACAACTCTCTGAGTAGAGCTATCAGGTTGTTCTTTCCTGGTCTGGATTTTCTCGTGACTGAAAGCGAAAAGAACCAATTTTTCTCGTGCAGATATCCACTGCTGGAAACCGAGACCAATCCCATCGACCGGACAATCGCAAATCTCCTGTTCCACAAGCGCAGCAGCAGCAACAGTGCCAACAACAGCAACAGTAGCAACAACAGCACTGGCTCCGCAGTGAACATCCCGTGCCTCCAGGAAAATCAAGCTCCCTGGACCTGGCAGCAGCAGCAGCACCACCAACAACAGGAAGCTCGATTATCTCAGCAACAACAGCAGCAGCAAGAGCTTCCATCGTCCGAGCTCACAGCACCCGACGAGAAATCCTTGCGCGATGATTGCTCGAGCGAGATCGCGGAGGAAGCGAGCGATGGCAGAAAAAAGGGTGCTAAGCCGGGTGGTGACGGTGGCTACGGCCAGAGCGTCAAGAGCCATAGGAAGCGGGAGGCGAGCAGTAGCGAGTTTTTGTCGAACGAGGAAGGAGATAGCCCGAGAATTGGGAGGGGGGCGTGTAGCAGCAGCAGCGATAGCTCTAGAGGCCATGGCAAAGCAGCGAAGACGGGGATTCAATAGCATATAGAGACGAAACGAGCCAATGTACACACACCACGAGCAAAGGATCACATTTAAAATATAGATGCGCATAATTTCTTAGAATATGCCGGATATGCTCCTGAGTTTGAAAAAGATGCTTATAGGATTTTTAGGGATTTAGGGTTCTTGAGGGAGAGAGAGAGAGAGAGAGAGCCAGGCGGTGCCGCCCGTGTCAATCTTTCGGCGGGAGCAACGGGGAATGCAGCTACTTCGGAGGCGGCGGAGGTCGCCATGGCTCCGAAAACGCAAATGCAGGGCACGCTGTTCAAGTATGGGCCCAAGCCAGTCCAGGTATTGGGATTCTCTAGCTTGTTTTGCATTGAATCGCGCGGATTTTGCTGCGAGACAAGGTTGCCTTTCGGACTGGATCGTTCCAGCAGCAAGTGATTTTCATCGGGGGATTGACAGACGGCTTCTTTGCGACAGAGTAGCTTTCTAAATGCATTTGCTACTTTAACACAATGATTCTTCTGTTTCTTCCTTCGGCATTTCAGGTATCTACTTCCTCTTGCTAAAGCTCTCGAGAGTGAAAGATGGTCGCTGGTCCAGTGCCTTTTATCGTCGTCGTATTCTGGCTATGGAACTTCTTCTTTGAAACAGGTGCTTAGATTCGTCTCCTTTGCTGCGAGTGAATGTTTTTATCTTTGGGTTTTTCGAGTCTCTAGGATGCACAGGAGCTGGAGCAGCTTATCAACTATTTAATCAACGAAGAAAATTCTCATGGTGTGGTGCTGCTTGGGCACAGCACGGGCTGTCAGGTTCTACTTACTGGAATTCTTTTGTCTATTGTTCCAACTTTGCGGTTAGTACAGGATATTGTTTACTACTTACGAGAGGGTGGGATTTGCATGAAAGCCGTCCGAGGAGCTATCCTTCAGGTAACACGACGCTGTGTATGTTTTTCGTGCTTCCATTTTTCTCTTTTATTCCGTAGGCTCCTGTAAGTGATAGAGAGTACAGAGCAACGTTGCCTGGGACAGCCGCAATGATCGACTTGGCTGATGAAATGATCAAGGAGGGAAGAGAATTGGATTTGATGCCCCGCGGGGCTGAACCAGCTGCTCCTATCACTGCTCATCGGTATGGAACTTTACAATGAGAACTTTTTGAGAAAACTTTCGAGTTTATATCTTTGTATAGTTTCCGCTCGCTTGCTGGATATATGGGAGACGATGACATGTTCAGCTCTGACCTCTCCGATGAGCAGCTTCGTGTTAGGCTTGAGCATATGTCAAAGCTTCCTTGCCAGGTGTGATGGATCTGCTCTAAAACATTTACGATTAATTTGCTTCATAGGTTATCTTTTCCATGGCCGATGAATACGTTCCGGACTACGTGAACAAGCACAACCTTGTCAAGCGGTAAGCATCAACATGTTTCCACGATGTAATACTTATTTCCCTTCTTTTTCTGCAGGTTGTGCGCTGCCATGGGAGCCACAGCCGTTGAAATATGGGGCAATCACAGCCTCACCAACCGGATCCAAGAGGCTGTTCGTGCTGTCGTCGACTTTATAAAGAGAGAGAGCTCGAAAGACTGGGACGATCCATGGAAATGAAACAGTGTCTACAAGGTAAAGTTTGTTGGTTTCCTTTTCTTCTTCTTTAACAATGTCACTCACTTACAACAGGTCACCAAAACTGCGAGACTTGGCTCTAGCTAGTCTGAAGTGTCATCATCTCTGTCTATTCTATCTTCTTTCCACCTTATCCGGAGCTCCTCCTAGGCATCCTGGATCGTTTTCGCAGCATCCAAATCCTCATCCACTTTGTCACTCTCGCCATCAAGCTGTTCCCGCTTCCTGTCATCAACCTCCTCGCTCTTGGTTGCCTCGAGGTCTGCATCACCCTCCGTGACGCCGACCTCGGCCTTATCCGCAGCCACCAATCCGTGATCCAAATCCTCGCCTTGCTGCTTCTGGGCCTCCTCCCTGGGCTCCTCGCCGGATTCCTGCCTCGAGCCAGTCGTCGTGTTTGCCTTGAACAGCTCCAGTTGGTCCTCCAGAGCCTTCAAGTGATTGCGGAGCTTGACCACCTCCTTTTCGCTCTCGTCCAACTCCTTGAGCTGCTCCTTGAGTGTGGCGATCTGGATGTCTTTGTCACCCAGAGCAGCCTCCAGCCTCGTTTTCTCCTCGCCCAGACGCTGCTGCTTGCGCTCCGACTGGATCAGCATGGTGCTGGTGTTGGACTTGACTGCGGCCAGTTGCAGCTTCTCGTCGTTGAGATCCGAGGCCTTTTTCTGGAGCTCGTCGTGGGATCTTCTCGCATCCTAAACATGTGTGTGTTTTGTTTTGGAGGAGAATTTTTTGGTTTTGGAAAGCGAAGCATGTAGGTGATGGGACTAAACATCAAAAGTGAGGTACCTGGAGATCGCGGAACATGGCATCTAGTTCGGCATTTTTGGACTCCCTGTCCCGGTGAGCGCGCAGATCTTGGATGCCCATGAAGCAAACGAGGACGAAGATGACGAACAAGGAGATCGCCAACCTGAGGCCGCCTCCGTTTGACAATCCAACTGCGCCTGCCATCGCGAGTTTAGGGCTATCAAGTACGGTATATTCTTTATAGCATTATCCTCTGCCTCTAAACAGTTAATGAATGAATTATTCACTTCAAATCCTTGAATATATCATATTTAAACCCTCCATTCTCATGCTTATTACTGGAAGTGCTGTCAAATAGTTAAATTGTTTATGACCACTATCAAGTAAAAAGTAAAATTTTGGAGCATGCATTAACACTATCAGAAAAAGCAAGACCACTTATCACCTTTTTTCTTCTTGCTTTGTCTAAGCAAAGATATATTATTTCAAGATATATTAAAGCATCGGAATGAATAAAAAGTATGTTTTTATCTTTTCAATTGAATTCTTATAAAATTTTAGCTGGCCATATAAATAAAATATGAATATTTATAATAATTTGCTTTGCTTGTTCAATAAAATTTAAAATTAAAACAGTTAAAAACACAAAATAAAATCTATATAAATGGCATAGAGGTTTTATACAATTTTTCAATGTCAAATCTTGCACACTACCACTGTAATGTGGGCCTGAGTTGTAGCTTCTTTCACATCCATATAGTCATGAGCCAATTTATGAACCAGTTGAGCTTGATAATAAAATTCTATGATGAATTGTTCATAAATCAATTGAACTTCCCGTATTTTACCTAGTTAGTCAAGGAATAAGAAAAACAATTACACAAACAATAATGCTATATGAGCTAGAGAGCATTGTGAGCTACAAGTAAACTTGGGGCTCTTACAATTTGATCTCCAAAGCTTAGAAACATGGTTTCATTTGAGGAAAACAAAAGTTCATTTCAATTTTTTCAAGTTTCTTGATGTGTATCCTTGGCATGGATTGGAAAAACAGCTTGCACCATTGGAGCTCCCAATCTTTCATGTGGAGGTTTTGCCCATGGAGCTTCATCATCATGTCCAAGACATGTCTCTCAACCTTCAGGAGTCCCTTGGCAACAAAGTGGACATGCTGCATGTCGCCAACTTCAAGCAGAAGCAGTATACTTCCTCAAGGTTGAAATCACTGGAAGCTAGGAAGAAGAGGTCACCACCTTCATGAGGAGGGGAAAACATTAAAACAAGCTATTTCTAATTAAGTGAGAAATTTCTGAAATAACACTATTAATTTCAACTTCTCTAAACTCCAAGTTTGGAGCTTGAAAGTTTGCAAGCTCCAAGTATTGTACCTCCAAGTGTTGCTCCTCCAAATGAATTATTTTCATGCTATGGGTAGTTGGCAGGCAAGAGATCTCCAAGTGCACATTCTTAGATGTTATTATGTCATCTATTAGATCAATCTCTCCTCTTGTGAGAAACCTAAAGGTATCATTAATTACTTTTTTATTTTTATTTCTTGTTTATTATTTTTTATTCAAGAAAATTAGTGGAATTGATTGCCAACATCATACAATTTCTATCAACAATCAAATTTTCATGGTGACAAAATTAATAAATTTGATTTGCTACATACAACATTAAATAGTTACTATGATCATGGCAATAGTGCTTATAGTCTTGTGATTTTAGAGTTAAAAAGCTTTCAGAATATTGTTTTGCAAAGAATAGTTTTATTGCAAACACTACTACATATAACATATATCTGTGTTTATCGGTTGGCTTTAAGCTTTATAATGGAATCATATATTGGAGATGAATGGCCCAAGAGCAATGCAAAACATTTGTATTTGTGGAGTTTTGCTAGAGAGTTTTATAAAGGAGTTGTTTTGCCAAATAAATGTCGTTGAGAGTTTTTCTTAAGAGTTTTACTTATTGTTGAGCCCTTATAGGATATTGTATGATAATATATATACCATTAACCCAAGATATGTTCAATAGTCAGACTCAAATTCATTTATATATCCCTAGAATATCCAAATCTGCCATGTGGCTTGGTCCAACTAACTCTTCCAAGAAATGTAGAAGTGGCTACAATAGGGGAGGCCAAGTGATTCTAAGGCTACCCAACTCACTTACTAACTAAAAAGACCAATTGATCAATCTAAGGAGCCAAATTTTATGTTGTGTTGAGTAGGTTGTGATAATGAAGTTTGGAGGGGACAACTTAAGGCTACTATATTTACATTACCAGTTATAAGCCACTCTAAAACTAGTAGAATAAGAGCTTTAAGGTGCCAAGTGCAATTGCCTCAATTGCCCCATTGTCATACTTTTGTAAGAAAGAGATAAAAAACACTTGTTTATTGATGAGAGCTATTATATTGCCACTAGAAGGTTGTGAAATTCTCCCTTGAACTGTCTCAATCCTCTTAGAAGACTTCCCAACTTTGTACCACACAAATATATAACACAAGTTACTCCCTCATGTGTGAAGTAGAGTTATTGCTAAGGGCCTTAGGAGTACAATTTATAGTGAGAAATTCACTCAGCTATGGGTGGAATTTTGGCAATCTAACATCTTTAGTGACCAGTTCTAGATAGCTTGGATTTTATCAAGCCAACCATGAAAAAATACTATAAGCGTCTTAATTTTGCATCAATATATTAGTTTAGAGTATGTATATTGCTCAATTATGTTATGTTGCGAGGTATCTAACACTAAACTGGGCTATGGAGACAACAATAAGACCTTTCCACTTGAAGGGCTAGAAATTATAAGTTACATAAAATGTTTGTGATAAGAATGTAATGAGTCAATCGATGTCAAAAGAGGCATGTAGGAAAAATCTTTTGAGAGAGCTTAATTCTAAAGGGAAATACAATGTTACAAGAAAAAAAACCTAAAGAAAGGATTACTTATGTGTCAATTGAATAAATCAGATATTGGAAAAGCTGTGCTTTTCTTGGGATTATGCATAGATTCAAACAAACTATAATACTTTAAATCTCATTTATAGCCATAGAGAAGAAAATAAATTTAAAATAAAGAATCAATGGTTATCTACTCTATAAATACATTATACAAATGCTTCTCCAAGACATACTCCATTTCCTCAAATGGCCTTGAGTTGAGTACAGCTATGTTATGCACCTTAGTATAGTTCTCCTTAACACTCTTGTATAAGACTCTTGCATTGGATATAGATGATGCAACCTAGACTCTACATGTTCCAAGTGTACACTCCACCTGTGCTGCTGCATATTGATGAGGCATATAAAGAGCAAGACAATATTAGTGATGAAGATGAGGTGGGTGGGAAATGGAGCTGAACACACTAAAAGGGGCATCAATCATATCAGATCACAAGAAAAATCTTTATCACTGAAAATCTAGTTGAATTGGTATGGATTCTTGAAAATTCACAATAGAATTATAATTGACATCACATTTTTAACTTTGTGAATTATAAAATTATAAGAGACTCTCGCCATTCATTACACATTAAATTTCAAACATTTTTAATTATGAATTTTCTATTACACTTTCTCACATAATCATAGTTTTGCCACATCAGTATGCCAAGTCACTATCTACATGGATCATAAATGCTCACTGTCTAAATGCCACATCAACAAGTAATCAAGATCATTAATTCAATTCTAGTTACAGATCATATTACTTATGTAGCTCATTGCCACTGGCTTGCTGCTAATGGCTTGCATAGTGCCAGCATACTCACTACAAGGAAAAAGAAGGAATCAAACCATGTCAATCAAAACAATAAGAAGGAAAAGGGGGAAAAAGGAGAAGGATGAGTTTTAAGAAACTCTAGTTAAAGATTATCTATAAGAGTAGGTTGTAGATGTTGGTGAGTGATTCTTTCTTCTGTTTTTCACCTTCATCCTTGCTAGGTTTGTTGGACCAGCCATTGCTATTGTTATAAACCACAAGTGATTGACAATATTTTTTAATAAAGACAATCCTATAGAGACCCCACTTTGCTCAATCAATCCATGTGAAGTGATCAACAGAGGTGTTGAAGATCAATTAATAGTTGTGAATGAGCATGCTATAAGCTTGGAATGTGAGTGAGAAATATTTTAATACATGGATGCACCTCGCTTTTAGTGACTTACTTTTGTAAACAACCAAAAAGAATAAATCGAGAAATAATTCATAAAGCTTCAAATATATAGAGAAAAGGGTTATGAACAAGAGTACATCTTTTTTTTCAATCAGTTAAGGGTTTTAGAGTACTTGGGTTTAAGCATCCTTGGGTTTGAGTAATATTAAGTTGGATAACCTTCTAAAAAGTTCAAATTCAAGAGTTTATATTTCATATAGAGAGGTCTTGGGTCCAACTCTATTAGTTGGTTATAGGAATCACACTATATGTTGAAATTAATATCTAGCAAGTCTAGTTTACTAACCTCTTAGAAAGTTTAAATTCAAAAACTTACATTTGGTATCAATGTGAGCGCATCTAGATGCTGTGAAAAGGGATATGTAGAGTGAGGACTTCAGACATCACTATTGCAGCCTTGGAGTGGCATCATTGCCTTGAGCTATGCCTTGGCATTAGCAAAGGTGCTAAGATTCAGTGCAAGTTGGTTGCATGTCTAGCGGCAAATTTGATAGAGGTCATTGAAGAATATGGCTCTCCAGATGCAACTTTTTGGGAGCTTATTCTTGATTCAGTTGCTATAAAAGTGAAGGAGCTCACCATGACTTGGTAGATAAAGTGGTGGAAACTTGTGGTCCTAATGCATCTCTTCAAACAACAGCTCCTAATCACTCAGGCCTCTTGCACCCATTGGAAGAAGTACTAACATAATAAGAGCTCCATGAGGCTGCACTAAGTGAGGTTGCAAAAATTACATCATGATCTAGCTCTCAAAGTCCTTGGGTGACTATTTTGATGCGACATATGCAGCAATTCATTCATATGAAGCATGACATTTAAGTTTTCTATTGTCAATGCTCTTCACCTCTCATGCTAGTATCTGCAGGTCTACTTAGGCATTGAGTATATGAGTTTTTTGTCTCTATTCAAAAGGCACATGTACTTTGTCTATTATTGATTCTTAAGAGGTTAAATGCTTGTTGAGAACAAGATGCAAGATGTTGGCAGGCTGACAACACAAGTGTTTGAAGCTGCATAGAGCCAATTTCCCTTCATTTTGTGTATATATTTTACATGCCACAAGGGAGGCAAAACCTCACATGTCATTGTTCTATGCAAGGATG